TTGTATTAAATTAGAAGTACAGTATGACATAAAACACAATGTTTATCAGAGACTAAAAATACCCTTCACTGTTCTTTTAGGAATACAGAGGAAATCCTTCATGGACACATCCCATAGGAAAAGCATCTCTAACTACCAGGTCACTCCCATTCCCACTTGGCATTCGGAAAACTCTTGGATATCAAAGACATAATTGTCTTTCTACTATTAGCAAAATGCTACTTCTCTCATTGACTCTAATGCACTCGGCTTCATCTTCCATTTCCAGTGTGCAGAGTTAACTGGAAATATTACATTAGTGACTTGTAGCATCTCTTTACTTTTTCAACATTGACAATAATCAGAAATGTTTCCTGAGCAGCAAATCAGCATATTAGAATGATTTCTGAAGGATCATGTGACACTGAAGACTGGAGTAATGATGCTAAAAATGCAGCTTTGCATCACAGGAATAAATTACATTTTACAATATATTACAATAAAAAACAGTTCTTTGAAACTATAATAATATTTCACAATATTACTGATTTTACTGTATTTTTGATCAAATAAATGCAGCCTTGGTGAGCAGAAGAAAACTTTTTCAAAAACATTCAACCTTTTGAACGGTAGTTTTATTTACAAGTAGTGCAGGAAGTTGCTCCAGGAATCTGAACAGACTCACCGCCCTCTGTGGTGTTGCTCTGGACCCAGGCGCTGGGCGGGGACGACCCGATCTCATTGGTGCAGGACACGCTCATGTTGTACCAGGTCATGGCCTTGAGGTTGCTGATTTCATACTGGAACGGAGGCACGCGTGTGGGGTGTGCGGCAGTGGGGCTTCCTGGCTCCAAAAGCTCTCGCACCTGGAACAGATGAAGGATAACACATTTATTATTTGTTCTAAAAATGACAATCATCATTCAATCAAAGCTTTTAGTGGTGTTTCTTCAAATTTAGAAGGTGTGCTGTTACTTTACCAAGTGATCAGAATTAGGATCAACCTGGTGGATGTTAAAATGGGTGCAGAATCTTATACTGAAGGGTCATATCCATTCTGAACTGAACTATGTTCTTCAGAGGTTTCATCACAATTCAGTAGCCTTGTACAAGCAATGTTCATTCTTTTGTCCTTCTTACTGTGATGGAGCATGTGCTGAGAGGAGAGAAGCCGTCGTGTCCCGGTGTCCAGCTTATGACGAGTTTGTTGGCCTCACGTTTTACTACTGTGACCTTTGACACTTTGTCAGGAAGCTCTAAAAAAAATATTAAAAATCTTTTACTTTTTGTTTTACTGAAATGAAATGGAAGTATAAATATTAGATGAAGAACTTAGGCTTAAAAAAAACTTGAAAAATTAGAAAAGTCTTCTTGACAACTAACTGAAATAAAAAAGTACTAAAATTACTACAACTAAAAAAAATTTAAATTAAAGTTAAATGGAAACAAAAAAAAACCCTAATAAAAATGACAAAAGAAAAGTGACTAAAATTTAAATGAAAATTGAAAATGTAAAAAAAGAAAATGTATAATATAATATAATACAATACAATACAATATAATATATGATATAATTACACTAAAATTACACACTGTTCTCAGATTGGCTTTACCTTTGATATTGATGTGAGCTTCTTTAGATACTGTGAGGCCTTTCTCATTGTGAGCTTCACAGCTGTACTGAGTGAGTGCATCAACACCTGCACAGAACAAAAATTAAAACATTTAGCTCACTTTAATATGCAGATACTAAAAGTACTGTCTGCGCTTTTTTTGGACTTTCTGAAGAATGAAAGACTGCTTTCAAACATTCATCTGACTTGTTTGACTGGCCCAACATGTGAATTTCTATAGCTCAACCAATAGTGTTAAATTTGGGGAGGAACAACCCGTTTGGCTGAACAATGAAAAATGGGAGCCTGTTTGGGAAGAATCAGTGGTGCTTGCAAACTATTATTTTTAATATTACTGATAGTTTTATACACTAATGTTCAAAAATTTAGGGACAGTGTATTTTCTTTAAAAAAATCAACACTTTTAATCAGCAAGGATGCACTTAATTGTTTTCGATTTCAAATAAAATAAAAATATGAAGCAGCACAACTGTTTTCAACATTGATAATAATCAGAACTGTCTCTTGAGCAGCAAATCAGCATATTAGAATGATTTCTGAAGAATCATGTGACACTGAAGACTGGAGTAATGATGCTGAAAATTCAGCTTTGATCACAGAAATAAATTACATTTTCAAATATATTCAAATAGAAAACAGCTATTTTAAATTGTACAAATATTACTGTTTGTTACTGTATATTTGAACAAATAAATGCAGTCTTGGTGGACATAAGAGACTTCTTTCAAAAAGATCATACCACACAAACACTAACAAATCTGGAAACCATCCAGATCCAAACCATCTTGGCTGTGAGTAACTGTAAATACTGTATATATTATTAAATCCATTTGGATGGGCACTCGAGTTAGTGCTTTTCAATGCTTTACTCATCGAACACAATAATGCTTTTAAATGATCTTTTGGGGGGCACATTCTCAACTAAAATTGATGTGTGATTAAATAGATCTAGAATTTGATTAATTATCATCTAGTGGCTACATCACGGTGTTACAGAGGATTCTGAATATGAACGGGCCTCCTCAAATTAATAATTTTACATGTGTTTATGTATTTTTGTATCTTGGATTGACTCTATTGTATACAGGTAGAGGAAGATAAGTTTAGCTAGAATCCTAGTAGTATCCCTGGAACATACTTTAAAATACAACCTGGCAAATAGGATTTTTAAGGATTAGAATTTATTTACAACAATTAATGAAATTACTCCAGACTTGACTCTGAATCCAGCTTAAAGACCCATGTCTGGGTCGAGCACATGCAGAACCGCGCAACTTTCACCGCCAGCGTGTGGCACAGTCTTTCAGTGCCACTCCATGCCAACACTCCAGTCCCACTCTGACAAAAGCGCAACCATAATATCCCTTTTGTGCAAGTGCATTTCAGAGCCGCTGTCACAAAGGACACATTGCTTCCCCCAATGGAGCTGACAGGAAGCTGCTTGTTTGGTTGTTGACATGCTTCTTAGTATCAAATGTGTCTATCTCTGACTGTCAGTGGGACAGATCGTGCCTCCGTTTTCAAGCGACTGAACTATGCTAATGAAACAGCATCTGTAAAAAGATACAAACATAATGGATTCAATGTAGGAATGATTACGGGTTCAGTCTAGACATGGGAAAGAAAGGTTTCTTGAATATAAACTTTCCTAAATCATACCTAATTTGCTGAAACCAACTCACAGGGATGTTTTCTTCACTGGTTTGCACTCTATCTGCCATGTGCTGCTTTATATATATTTTTTTTTAAATGATTTTTTTTTTTTTTACATTTGACCTTATTTCTATATTTGTATAGTTGTATTTTATATTTAATCTGTATCTATCTGTATTTATGTTCTACTGTTAGTGTTACCTGTATGCACCAAGGGTCTGAGAGTAACGCAATTTCAATTCTCTGTGTGTATGTGCTGTACATGTGGAAGAATTGACAATAAAGCAGACTTGACGACTTGACTTGACTTAATTATTCTTGAGGTAGACCTCCTTTCAGAAGACAAGAAGACTTTTTCTGCCTCTTACCCAGAAAAGATTTAGTTAAAAAGCAATGTACAACATTCAAATATATTTTAAATAAACCACCCATTTGAAACTAATTAATCACAAAGAGTTGCCATATGACCATGGTTTGAACTTTGAAATAAACTATTTCAGGCTGAAACTGCACAGAAACATTGTGAGCCAAAGCCCAGCTCGGAAAAGGAATGTTTTGCGATGTTAAATTCTAATTTTTAGCTTTAGTTCATCAGAAAAATGACTGATCATTTGACTCCATACAAATGGAGTCTCTCCAAACTCCTTTTCATGAATCAAACTGACTAAATTTAGAAGATTTACAAAAAAAAAAGCTACAAAAAGAAGCTGACTTTTGGTTACAAATAAACATGCATGCAGGCTGGACAGACTGTACGTCTGTACAGGTGCCAGGAAGTATACGCTACATTTCTGATGGCCTGTAATTATCGGGTTTTGAGAACAGCCGTGATAGCAGGCCCTGCATATGGATGCAACAGAATCTGAGATTGCTCTGGCATAGTGTTTACTATAGCGCTAACAAACAATGATTTTAAGCAATGTTTTTATGTACCATGGTAACTCCAACATTTACAGTATTCTGGATTACCAAGTAAATAGAAAGGTATAAACTGCCAAACAACATCCCAGCAGCTAGGGCTGCATGATTAATCATAATAACTAAAAAATGTTCTACTTGTCTGTGTCAGCCGCACCACACAGATACGTTTTCTACGTTTATTTACACTTTGATTTGAACGAAAACAGCGTATCCGTGTGGTGCGGCTGACACAGAACAGCATACGCAGTTTGCGTTCAGTGCATACTCTCCAAAATGGCACTACGGTGACGCGGAGGAGACGAATTGTTGAATAAAGTCATTATTTTTGTTTTCTTTGCGTACAAAAAGTATTCTCGTCGCTTCATAAAATTCAGATTGAACCACTGATGGCAGATGGACTATTTTGACGATGACTTTCATACTTTTCTGGGCCTTGACAGTGTTATTTACTTGGCAGTCAGTGGGACAGTCACAAGCCTCCCGGTTTTCATCCAAAATATCTTAAATTGTGTTCCGAAGACGAACGAAGTTTTTACGGTTTTGGAACGACATGGGGGTAAGTGATTAATGACAATTTTCATTTTGGGGTGGAGTAACCCTTTAAATAAATATATGTGGAGCGTGTTTCAATGTGTGCTTTTACTCGAGAGCAGCTCATGATCTGGTGTTTACAGAGTCACAGAGTGGCTTGAGTCACAGTAAATGCTGCTCCACACAAACTTACATCTGCATCTGCTCTGAGTTTGGGTTGCTTACAGTATAACGTGCATTTGAAAATGCAACATGCACCAACCATCTTGCCAAACTTGTAATGAGATGCCCTCATAAACCAGCTGTTGAAAACAAGAAAGTAGCTTTAAGAGCTCCCTGCAGTTTTCTGTGAAAATAAAAGCTTGATGGTTTAACGTTTGAAAATGAAGAAATTAAGAGAGCCATAAACATCAATATTGTAATTTTACAGATGTACTGTAAAATAGGCTTGCCACGATAGACGGTGCTGACGCCTGACGGTGATACCGTTGTTAAGCCGCAACACCGGTTACATCACTTGCCCACCGCGGCACCGACCCCCACCGTCATTTAGATTTTTTTATAGTAATAAAAATAATTTAGTTCAGTAAAAGAACAGACACTACAATTAAAAACTGAACGCGGCTGCTCAATGCAGCGTGCCGAACGACAGTCACATCACAGATCAGATTTCATTTCTCCAGTGAGGAGAGTGAGTCCAGCTGACTGACAAGAAGAGTGAGGTGAGACAGACAAGACGATGGCGGATGAT